CTTTAAATGAGTACTTCTAGTCAAGGTAGCCTGTTCACAGTGCATTTGCAATGCAACTGTCAGTGATTTTCTCCCATGAATTCTTCACCCACGTCACAACTTCTTGCAGTTTAGGTTTCACAAAGTTCCATGCTGATTTCTCTCCATTCTATTTTCAATGTAGTCATTAATTTCCATGCGCAAATTGTCTTTGAATGGCTTGTTTATTGCAATATCAAGAATCTGGAGATAGGCCTTATTTTCGGGGGGATGCCTTATATTTCACTCAGAAGGAAACTTGTAAGTAGGTCTTATTTTCGGAGGATGTCTTATTTTCGGGGAAACATGGTAATGACATTTTTTTCTGTGATCAACTTGGTTGGGAACCAAATTATTCAAACTGGGGAGATGTTTGAGAACCAAGGTTTAACTGTATTTCTACTTTTCTGCTTACCGTACTTATAAATTTAATTTGCTCTTTCTCTACATTCCTAAAGTGGATAGTTAGGTTGTTGATTATAGATCTTCTTTTCTAATACATTTATTTAGTGTTATAATTTTTCTCTAAGGAGTAGCTTTGCTGTATCCCACATATTTTAGTTGTTTTTATTATATTTACTTCAAAATATATTAAAACTTCTTTTTAGACTTCATCTTTAACCCAGGGGTCATTTAAAAGTTTTAATTTTTTTAAACTCCAAGTGTTTTTTGTTTTTTCAGCTATCTTCCTGTTACTGATTTTTAGTTTTATTTCATTGGTGTACTTTGTATGATTTCTTTTAAATTTGTTTAGGTATGTTTTATGGTTCTGAGTATCCTCTGTATTGGTGAATGGTTCATGTGAATATGAGAAGAATACGTATTTTGTTATTGTTGGATGAAGTACCATATAGACGTAATATTTGTATACCAGTGTAATGCTTTCAGTTTTTTTTCCTGATGTATTTTGGCAGCCTTTTATAAGGAGTGAACACAGTAAAGGTTATTGTATGTTCTTGGAGAATTGACCCTTTTATTCCTGATAACTTACCTTGCTCTTAAATCTGGTCTGTCTGAAATTAATAAATTACTCCTGCTTTTTAAAAAATTAGTGATAGTATGGCATAACTTTTTCTGTTCTTTCATTTCAATCTTTGTATATCTCTATTTTTTAATCCTTGCCCAAGGATATGTTTTTATTGATTTTTAGAGAGAAAGGATTTTTAAGGGGAGAAGTAAGGGGGGGAAAGAGAGTGGGGGGAGGAGAGAGAAATGTGGATCAGTTGCCACTTCTACACGCTGTGATCGGGGATTGAACCCACAATCTAGGTATGTGTCCTGACTAAGAATCAAACCTGTAACCTTTTGGTGTATGGGAGGATGTTCTTCAGAGGTCACCAACTTTTCGGACCACCAGTTGGTGACGACTGCAGGGCTTTCTGTATTTATATTTAAAGTGTGTGTTTATAGGAAATATGTACCGTATTTTCCGGCGTATAAGAAAACCCCCTAATTTTACAGTTAAAACATAGGTTTAGGCCTATGTTCGCTGTATAAGACTACCCCCCACTTCCGAGGCAACACCAGTTCTTTTTTTAATAGACCGCCTCTCTGACTTTGGTCAATCTAAGCAGGCTTTTTACTAGAACACAGTGTAGTTTCGGCTACAGAACATGTATAATTTGCATGCATAAAAAGCCTGCTTAGCTTGTCCAAAGTCAAAAGAACTGATGTTGCCTCGGAAGTGGGGGGTAGTCTCATACAGCGAATATAGGCCTAAACCTATGTTTTAACTGTAAAAATTAGGGGGTCGTCTTATACGCCGGAAAATACGGTAGTTGGGTCTTATTTTTCTTATCCACTTTACCAGTCTCTATGTTTTAATTGGTATATTTAGACCATTGGTATGGAAAGTGATTATTGATATAGTTAGATTAATATCTTCCATATTTGTTATTTTTCTATTTGTCTTCCCCCCGTCCAATCCCCTTCCACTCTTCTTCTGCCTTCCGTGGCCTTCGTTAAACTTTTCATATGATTCAGTGTTCCCCCTCCTTTTCTTAGCATGTCAACAAAGGCTTATTTTTAAAGTTATCTATAGTAGTTGTGCTTATGTTCACAGAATACATTTATAATTTTTAAAATAACATTGTACTACTTTATAGGTAGTATAGGTACCTCATAACAGAGCATTTCCAGTTCCTCGCTCCCATTTGGTATAACATTATTATTATTCATTCATAAGCTAGTCACAGGAAACATTGCTGTTATTTTGAACAAAAAGATCAACTAATAAAAATGAAAATTTTGTTTTACCTTTATTACTTTTAATGTTTTTTTATGTGGATCTGAGTTCCTATCTTGTATCATTTTCCTTCTTTCTGAAGATTTTTTTGGCCTTTGGCAAAGCAGATCTGGTGACATATTTCTTCCATTTTTTGAGAATGTTCTTATTTCTCTGTCACTTTTGAAGAATAATTTTGCTGGATATGGAATAGGGAATATTAGGTTGGTGGATTTTTCTTTCAACACTTTAAATCTTTGAATATGATTATAGGTAAGACTAGAGGCCTGGTGCACAAAATTCATGCACGGGGGGGGGAGAGGGGAGTGTCCCTCAGCCCAGCTTGCACCCTCTCCAATCTGGGACCCTTGGAGGGATGTTTGACTGCCGGTTTAGTTCCCTCCACTATCTGGGACTGCTGACTCCTCACCTGCCTGGCTGCCTGATTAACCCTAACCATTCTGCTTGCCAGCCTGATAGCTCCCTAACTGTTGGCATGCTGGCCTGATTGACACCTAATCACTCCCCTGCCAGCCTGATTGACACCTAATTGCTTCCCTGCAGGCCTGGTTAACCCCCCCACTCCCACCCCCTCTACCACTGCCCTTCTCTGCTAGCCATCTTGTGACAATGTGGGGACAGCCATCTTGTGATGATGTGGGGCGGCCATCATGTGATGCGAGGGCATGAGGGTCAATTTGCATATTAACTCTTTATTATATAGGATATTTTCTCTCTAGCTTCTGTCAAGGTTTTCTTTTTGTCTTTGATTCTCAGCAGTTTTGCTGTTCCTCTTGATGTCCTCCCTAGTTTCTTAGATATGTGGTTTTCATATATTTTATTAATTTGGGGGAATTTCAGTCATTTTTATTTTACATATTTCTTGTTTTCCATTTTCTCTTTTTCTGTTGTTTCTTATATTCCCATTACACATATGTTAACACTTTTTGTAATTGTCCACAATTTCGAGATATTCTGTCTTTTCCTTTGCATTTTTGTTTTGAAAATTTCTATTGATCTATCTTCAAACTTACTTATTCTTTGCTAGGCCATATCCTTCAAACTAATGAGCCTGTCAAGGCATTCTTTACTTCTGTTGTGCTGTTTTTGGTTTCCAGCATATCCTTTTGATTCTTAGAATTTCTATTTTTGTTCACTGACTTAAAATGTTTTCATAATTATTAGATATACAGGGTATCCTCAAAAAATGTATACACAATTTAACAGCTAATAGCACGATTTTGAAAATGAAATGTATTTTAATAAACAATGCATTTATAATTATTCAAAGTTGTATATACTGGTATACATTTTTTTGGAACACCTGTGTATTTGGTGTTTGTTTTCTGGTGTTTATTATACACTGAGTGGCCAGGTTATTAAGATCTCTGAACACATAATAATCTGGTCACTCAGTGTATATCCTATATAATAAAAGGCTAATATTCAAATTGTCCCCTCTACCAGGAGTTCAACCAACAGGCAGGCCGGTCAACCGCCCATGTCCCCTTCCTCTGGCCAGGCTGGCTGGATCCTACCCATGCACAAATTCATGTACTGAGCCTCTAACACACACACACACACACACACACACACACACACACACACACACAGACACATATTCTCTCTCTCTCTGTCTGTCTGTCTGTCTCTCTGCCCAATTATTATGCATTCAGAGATCATAATAATCTGGCCACTCAGTATATTACACTATTCTATCTTGTTCTAATAGTATAGTAAGTCATATTAATTTCTGTTAGAGCAAATCTTTATCATCAGAAACATTTTGGCTGGTACTCTGGTTTTTGTTTTAATTCTTATTGAAATTTATTCCTAGTCATTTGAAATACAATTTTTTTTTTATTATAGAGTCATTTAAATTTTGTTTTCTAATGAATTGTTGCTGACATATATGAAGTTGTTTGCCTTTTGTATGGCTTTCTGTAACTTTCTTTTCATTCTTTTGGATTTTTAGACAGTCATTAAGTTTGTTTTTAATTAGAAACTGATTGTAAACTTTCTTCAGATGCCTTTTTTGGACATATTGTTATTTTTTCTTTTGACAAATAGATGTAGTATTAAATTTTATCCTCTTTTCCATTCTTGAATTGCTAAATTAAACTCTACTTAATTGGGATATTTTTTGATACAGCTTTGGATTCAATTTATGTAAGTTTCACTTAGGATTTTTGAATATCATAAGTACAGTTGTGTATGTGCTATGTTATGTTTTGATAGGGTTAAGCTGGCTTTATAATATAAAGTTGTAATTTGTATGCTTTCAGATGCTCTAGTGCTATATAGATAGAATGAAATTATATATAGAAGGCTTAAAGGGAGTCATCTAAAGTCCAACTGAGCTTAGATTTTTTTAAAATTAAAAACAAACTCTTTTGCCACCTTCAGATTGTCTTGAGTTGCACTGATTTTATTCCCTTTTTGCTGAGAGACAATTTGTTCAATATGTAAAAACAGTTAAGAATTTATTTTACATTAATTATATCCAGAAACTATGCTATGTGAAAATCAACAGGGATGATTAGCATAGTAAGAGTTTTGTTTACGAGACAAAAACTGGGTTAAATGTGTCCTTGAGATGTATTTATTGATAGTAAATTCAGAGAGAAAGATGACCATTATCAAAGTGATATTGATAAGGAAAGGATTAGTTTTCACTATAGAATTAAAATATTTTTTGAACCTATAGAAAAGTTGTAAGAATTAAAATCTTTAATGTTTCAATTGTTCTTGTTCATAGGTGCATTTTATCTGGTATTTGAATATATGGACCATGATCTGATGGGACTACTGGAATCAGGCTTGGTTCATTTTAATGAAAATCACATAAAGTCATTTATGAGACAGCTCATGGAAGGTCTGGATTATTGTCATAAGAAGAACTTTTTGCATAGGGATATTAAATGTTCAAATATTCTTCTAAATAATAGGTATGGCATAAATATGTTCAAAGTGAATGTTATAAAGTGTTTACCTTGATTTTGTTTAGGATTTTAAATTTAGATTACAGTTGACCCTTGAACAACTGAGGGGCTATGCTGCCAACCTCCTTTGCCCTCCCCCTCCCTCCACTTAAACACACAGAGTTGAAAATTTGCATATAATTTTTTATTCCAAATACTTTACTAATAGCCTTCTTTTGACTGGAAGCTTTGCTGAGAATATAAATATTTGATGAATACATGTGCGCGCGCGCACACACACACACAGTTTATATTGAATATTTTACTAATAGCACCTGAACTCCTAATAAGGTTATTGTAATTGGTATGATTTGCTAGTTTAAGTGAAGCATGTCTGGTCCTGATTTTAGTTAGTGTAAAGTGTTCCAGGCACCTCACCCCTCTAAGAACGGAAAATCAATTTAAATTTAAAACAATGTGATTTAGATCTTGAACATTATCGACTTGAACGAGTAATTTGTCTTATTACTGAGTAGTAGTAATTGCCTCATTTTGTGTAATTTTCTTTGAAGTATACTTTTCTAAATAGCAACTAAATAGTGCTGAAATACTGTTATATTAGTACTACTATAATAATAGTAATAATAATAATAAAAATAGTACTAGTATTGTGGTATTATCTGAACTTCTCCAAAGAAAAATTTTTTACCTTATTTTGTCCCAAGTTTATATACTTTCCTATACCTATAGTACCTTGAGTAATGCAGTGTGATCAAAGTTAAAGTTTATATATTTTTTATTCTAAGAACATGATTTTATATGATCACTTCAAAGTAGAATAATATCTTCTATTCATTTTGTTTTCTTCCACCAGAGGGCAGATAAAACTTGCAGATTTTGGACTCGCTCGATTGTATAGCTCAGAAGAAAGGTAAGAGAACTTTAAATGAATATTATAAACATCAGAGACCAGTTTTAGAAGCTGTATAAGAATACCTATTGATAGTTGTTGTTTTTTTAAGAAAAAGGAAATTTACTTTTTTTAGTTTAATAAATGGAGTAATAAAACTGTATACCATAATTGAGTTGACTATTTTAATTACAGAATTTTACACCCTATCTCAATTTTAAAGTAGTGTTTTTAACACAGAGGTAAATATAATTTCTTTTAAAATGTGCCATTGTAAATGTAACTTAACTGAACTTAGGAATTTTTTTCAGTTTTTTTTTTTTTATTTCAAGAAAAATTATTTTAAATATAATAAATGTTACACGAAGCCCTGGCTTGTTTGATTTTAGCATCTATTTTCATCAGGGATATTGGCTTGTAACACTCTTTTTTCATAGTGTCTTTATCTGGTTTTGGAATTAGAATAATGCTGGCCTAATAAAAAGAGTTTGGAAGTGTTCCTTCCTCTTAAATTTTCTGACATAGTTTGGGGAGTATAGGTGTTATATATTCTTTGAATGTTTGGATAAACTCTCCTGTGAAACTGTCCGGACCTGGGCTTTTGTTCGTTGGGAGTTTTTTATTTATTTATTTTTATTACTGTTCTATTGCATTGGTTGTTATTGGCCTATTCAGATTTTTTGTTTCTTCCTGATTCAGTTTTGGGATATTGTAATTTTTCTAGGAATTTGTCTATTTCATCCACATTGTCGAGCTTGTTGTCATATAATTATTTTGACATAGTATTTTCTTACAATCTTTTGTATTTCTGTGGTGTCTGTGATTGCTTCTCCACTTTTGTTTCTGATTTTATTTGTTTCTTTATGAGTCTGGCTAATGGTAGATCTGTCCCGGGAAGTCAGACAGTGTTAAAGTCTTCTACTATGACTGTATTGTTGTCAATCTCTCCATTAAAGTCCTCTAGACATTTCTTTTATATATTTAGGTGCACCTATATTAGGTGAATAAATGTTTACCAGGGTTATATCCTCTTGTTGGATGGGTCCCTTTAGTATTATGTAGTGACCTTTATTGTCTCTTGTGATGGCCTTCATTTTAAAGTCTTATTTTGTCCGATATGAATATTGCTACTCCAGCTTTATTTCTTTTCCATTTGCATGGAAAATTTTTTTTCCATCTCTTTACTTTCATCCTGTGAGTGTCTTTTGTTTTTAGGTGGTCTCTTGTAAACAGCATCAAGGTTTTGTATCCATTCAACTATCCTACTCCTTTTTACTGGAACATTTAATCCATTTAAATTTAGAATATTATTGAGAGGTACTTATTAATAGCCATTTTAATTCTGTATGGTAGATTTCTCTCTCTGTTTTCTTCTTAGCAATCCCTTACAGCAAGCCCTTTAGCATTTCTTGTAATGCTGGCTTGGTGGTGATGAACTCCTCTAGCCTTTTTTTTTGGCTGGGAAGCAAAGATCTGAGACCAAAGTTACTACCATGTTTCCCCGAAAGATCTTTATTTGACAATCTATTTTGTTGAATGATAGCTGTGCTGGATATACCCTTTTCCCCTGAAAATAAGACAGTGTCTTATATTAATTTTTGCTCCCAAAGATGCGCTAGGTCTTATTTTCAGGGGATGTCTTATTTTTCCATAAAGAAGAATACGGTACACATTATTGTTAAATGAAAATAAAGGAAATTTTCGGAGGATGTCTTATTTTCGGGGAAACATGGTAGTAACTTTGGTCTCAGATCTTTGCTTTCCATTACCTTGAATATTTCATGCTATTCCCTTCTGGCCTGTAGATTTTATGATGAGAAATCAGGTGTCAGCCTTATGGGAACTCCTTTGTAGGTAACAGTTTTCTTTTCTCTTGCTGCCTTTAAAATTCTTTTTGTGTTTAATTTTTGGCATTTTAATTATGATGTATCTGTGTATGGGTCTATTTGGGTTCTTCCATATTGGGGTTCTCTGTGCCTCCTGAACTTGTGTGACTTTTTCCTTTATCAGGTTAGGGAAGTTTTTTACCATTATTTCTTCAAACACCTTCTCTATCTCTTTCTGCCTCTTCTGGCACACCCACTCTTCTAATATTGTTATATTTCACATTGTCTCACAGTTGCCTTAAGCTGCCCTCCTGTTTTTTAATTGTTTTTTTCTTTTTGGTTCTCCAATTGAGTGATATTTTCAACTCTGTCTTGTAATTCACTGATTTGATCCTCAGCTTCCCCTAATCTGCTGTGTATTCCTTCCAATGTGTTCTTTATTTGTGTTATCTCATTCTTTATCTCAGACTATTTTTTTTCCCCACAGGTACTGTACCTTTTTTTCATACTGTTGAGCATTTTTACCATCATTACTCTGAACTCTGTTTCAGATAAATTTCTTCTCTCTGCTTCATTTATCTCTTCTTCTGGAGAATTCACTAGTTCTTTCATTTGTGGGTTCTTTGTTTCCTCATTTTGGTTGTCTCTTTGGATTTGTCACTATATATTAGGTAGATCCTCTATACCTCTCATTCTTTAGTGCAAGACAGTTGTTAAAGGCTGTTTCTGACTAATTGGATCAGGCAAAGATGCAAAGCCTCCAGACTGTCTACAGACTGATAATATTCTGACTTGAATTGCTCCCAGGCAACTGTCCTCAGGTGTTGGGAGAGTTTTTGTTTTGTTTTTAAACAGGGCAGGGCAGTTTCTTCTGCCTGGAGGCTAATTATTAATCTCTTAAGTAGCCTCAGAGCAAGGTATTTTCCAATAGGGTGTGTTGATTGTCTTCCCCCCAGGCTTTGTGGGAAAGATATGAGGGAATGACTCAGCCCAGGAAACTTGGAGTGTCTGCCTTCTGATCTCTAACCCCCACCCCACCCAGTCCTCAGTCCTGGGTTGTTTCACAGCTCCAATCCACTTCACCCTCCCTCTGCCAGAGCACAAGGTGGGTGGCTCCACAGGGAGTTTTTGTGTCTTGGCCCTTCAAGAGGGTGTCCCTGGCAGACAGCACCCCAATGCTTTTCATAGCTAAATGTTACTGAGTACCCTCCTTAGTTTGGTGCTCTCTGCTGGGGAGCTCAGCTTCAGGATTAGATCCCAGCGTTCTCAGTGACACCTCCCGACAGCTGAGATATCTCTCTGGGGCTTCAGTTGCCATCTGTGGGTGCCCGTCTAGCTCTTTCATGCCCACGGCTCTCCTACCAGTTTCTGTGTGGTCTCCATCTTTGGTCCTTGGGTATCAGGGTTCTCTCCTGTGAGTTTTCCATTGATTATTCAGGAAGCCTTTTGATATTGCAGTTGTAATTCAATGAATTTAGGAATATTTTAGAAATTTATACTTACTGAGACTTAATATCATTTGTAATTTTTGTCTTTAATGGAAAACCTTCGTATATGCTTTTTATATTGCATGTTTAAACCTAAACATTTTGTTTTAATTATTACTTTGAACTTCTTTTTTTAAAATTATAGTTATATCTATAATTGTATTTGTTTGTTTTAAGCTCCTTAGAGCCTTTTATTTAAGCAAAATTGTGAAGAAGTTTAGTGTATACTAGTAACTTTTTTGTGTCGAGTTTCTCTGGTGAAAGTTGGCATGTATATCCTGCTTTGGTACTTTTTATACCTGGTGGTAGTGTTGTTTTATTAGAACTAGTATGGAATTATAAAACATGTTTTGCAAAGTAGTTTATTTTATATAAACAAACTGGAATTAACTGAGTTCATAATGCTCTAGTTTAGCCCATTTCTTTCCTTTCAGACAGTATAATTTATTTTTAAATACATATTTAATTCTAACATTCTTTATGGATGGCAACTCTGTAATTTCTTCAGTGTAACTATATTTAATATAATAAAATACTAATTCATTAGAATTCTTAAAAATAGGTATTTACTTTCACTGAGTTTTTGCAAGTTTCAGATTAGTTGAAAAAAAAAATCCAGTTTTGTTTGAATTTTTTAGAGTGAAAAAAATCTGTTTATTTTTTAATCTTGCAGTGCCCATGACATCATTCTGAAAGTTATTTTCATTGTTTACTGTTCAGGAGGTTGTTAAATAGTGTGTTTTGGATCCATTTGAGTTCCGTGAAAACCCTCAGAAACTGTGGTGTGGGGGTTATTGTGAACATGGTTACATCCCCTCTACCTACTTTAGCCAGAGCCTTTTTTTTGCTTTTGTTTTACCCACTACGCTTTTAATTAATATTTTATTTTAATAATGTACAGTTGGTTTTTATTTTAAATTTAAAATTAATCTAGAGCTAAAAAGGTATCATCCTCACTTTGCATTTGAGAAAATAGATTCAGAAAGGATTGAGTGACTTTAAATATAAAAAAATAAGTTGTTGGCAGAGTTAAGAGTATCTATAGAGTTCAGGGTTTCCAACTCCCAATTTTTTATTCTTTCCTTCAGATATAATAGTGCCTCATGGTAGAAATTGAAGGGAAAAAAATGAATTGGTCCAAATGTGTACTTAATCCAACACTTCACTTGAAGTATGTTTTTTGAATGACTAAATTTCAGTGCCTGTTCTTTAGGGGGATATTCTACTTAATTAAGGCGTCTATCTGCTTAGCTGGTTGAGATTTCACTGTAATTGGATCATTCTTTCATAATACAGTATGTGTCTGTCATACTTGAATATTTTTTGTTTATATGTTAGGTGCCAGTATAGATGGAGAACAGCACATTTACTTTTTTAATACAAGTAACATAAAACCTGTAGGCTCTAGTCCTGGCATTGTTGTTTAACCAGTTGTGGAATATTGGGCAAGTCACTTAATCTCTCTAGACCTCATTGTTCTTAATTTTAAGGTGAAGGATTTAAAATCTCTAAAATCCTTATTTATAAGGTATTGAAAAACGTATTTTATGGTTCTAAAAATTAACTGATCAAAACAACTTGAGAACATTTTTGGAAGGCAATGTCGCCATCTAGTGTTTTTTCATAAAACTGCCATTAAAAACAAAAGTAAATTTCTCCAAAGCTCTATGTAGAGGTTAAATGGTAGAGAAGTATTGCCTCTTCGGTATTTGTACTGGGTGAAATTATTATATTAATGATAAAATTGTCACTTTAGCACTGATTTTATTACTTATGTTCTTTCATTTCCACTCAAGCTAGAATTGTAGTTATTTTAAAAACAGGGACCATATTTTAAACTTTATATTTTTATATACCCTAAAATTCAAGATACATTCATAGTAACTTTCATTAATTTTGATTTGTAAAAAGGTTATCCTGATCTGGAGGATGCTTCTGGTATAGATTAGTGCAGGTAGCTTTGGGAATTATAGATAATGAAGAGGATATCTGGGAGACACTGGACACTGTTGGAACCACGGTAATATAAAAGATCGCTCATACCATGAATAACGACAAATAATGGGACTTTCTCATTTAGATTATTGATTTCATTGTAATTTAACCAGATTAAATTGTCCTCTTTTTTTTTTTGGCCTTAATGGAGTAGGCTACAATTAAACATAAAAAGATTTAAAAATTAGCTATTTACAGATAGATTTATATTAATTTAAACATTTTCTTTACTATAGATATCTTGGTACACTTTAGTAATAAGAGCATGGGTTTCATATACTTATAGCTGCTTGAAATGTTTTAGACAACTAGTCTTCATAATGTTCACAAATTTTATTCTTTCACCCAGCTCGCTAATTGATGTATGTAACCTAAAGTTGCAGGCTCTAATCATTAAGGTGTCTGCCCTATACCAGCATTGTTCAGGCTTTGAGTGTGGGGTTCATAGTAAAGAATGGTCTCTGGGCCCTCGCTCATTTGGTTCGATGGATAGAGCGTCAGCATGTGGACTGAAAGGTCGCAGGTTCAATTTCAGCCAAGGGCACATGCCCAGGTTATGGGCTCGATCTCTAGACATGGAGGAGGCAGCTAGTCAATGATTCTCTCTCATCATTGATGTTTCTAGCTCTCTCTTCCTCTTCCTTCCTCTTTGAAATCAATAAAAATATATTTTAAAAAAATAACTACACTGAGCAGGTATTATTATTTAAAAAAAAGAGAATGGTCTCTGGGGTCTTTTGACTCTTAAGAAGGTAAAAACCTAAAATAGAGTGTCTAATATAGTAGTGTGATACAAATTTCAGAATGTGAAAATTAATCTATTGTAAACAGAAATTAGTCATTATGGAGATGGGTCTTTCACTGTGCCTTGAAAGAGGTATAGGATTTGAATGAGAAAAATAGGAAAGGAATTTCAAATTTATAATGGAGATAAACATTTTTAAAGAATGATTAAGTCCAGCTTACTAGTAATTATTGTAGTGTGATACAAATTTAGTATCTAGAATTTAAAAGTCCTTAAGTGAAAACAAGTGATTCTGGTAAACAAACAAAAATCACTAAAAAAAAAAAAAAAAAGAACTTTAATAATGTTAGAAAAGTCAAACTCTAATTTGCTATTGAACATATACTTCTTATACTATATTCCTTATTTTTATAACTTATACCAAGGCCAATCTTTTTTCCTGCTCTGGCACACTGTTACTATAATCCTGCCTGTGATAATGCTGTGATGCCCAGATTGATGGCATATAGTACAAGTGTTGAAATTATTTGGAGAAATTTGGCTGGGTGCAGGCTGCTGAGGTCTTATGCTATCTGGAACTTCAGACCTCTGATTAGCAAGAGGAAATCACTTTGTAAATTATACTAGAGCCCCAGTGCATGAATTTGTGCACTAGTGGGGTCCCTCAACCTGGCCTGCAGGATTGGGCTGAAACTGGCTTTCTGACCTCTCCCAAGTAGTCCTGGATTGTGAGAGGGTGCCTGCCAGGCTGAGGGATCCCAACAGTGCACGATCAGGGCCAGGGAGGGATGTTGGAGGTTGGCCAGCCGAGGAGGGACTGCAGGAAATCTCCATGGTGTCTGGCCCTTTTGCTCAGTCCCGATAGGCTGTACACCAGCAGCAGCTAACCTACTGGTTGGAGCATTTGCCCCCTGCTGGTCAGTGCACATCATAGGGAGCAGTTGGGTGACCTTAGCATTCATTAGCATATTATGCTTTGATTGGTTGAATGGTCGACCTGTTGACCAGACACTTAGCATATTAGGCTTTTATTATATAGGATACTCCTTTTCCTATTCCCAAAACTGGTCCAGGGCTAAGCCAACCTCAGGTGGAGTACAGCCTTAATGGGGCATTTCCTTTGAGAAGGCTTTGGCATTCTTGTGATTCAGATGATATCCAGAATGAGGTTAGAATTGATTTAAACACGTATGAACACCCTGAAGTATATATCCTAAAAATGATCAGAGAAAGAACCACCTCTAATTTCTTCAGACCCTCTTTAATCATGTAAATCAGCAGAATATGACCAATCTCTAGGGATTGAAAACATTTTGCCAGATAATTTGTACTGCGGTGGTAAAACTTGTCCCTATTGCAACTAGATAATCTTTTCTATGATAAATAAAGAGGTAGCAGTATATATATGCTGTTTGTATGAAGGTGACAAAGGAATCATCTGACAAAATATCATATCTGTTGCTAGTGATTTTTTGCAGCATAGACCTCAGCACTACAATCTACATGTCTGTACTTTCTGTTCACATACTAAAGTGGATTGAAACCAATGAAAGATTGCCAGAGTTATGTTGAAAACTTTTGTTAGGTGTTCCAGTTGAAACTATCTTGCTATATATCAGTAATTTGCCGGATTTGGTCAAAATCAACTCCCTTTAAGCCAGTTAATCTCTCTAAACATCATTATAGAAAGGAGAAGCAGTGCTGAGCCGTGGAGTTGATAAAAAGGCCTTTCTTTTGGCCACATCACCATTAAAACCAGCCAGTTTTTATTTTTTACATAATATTCAGGGAATTTTTTAATCACATTGCTCTCGTATATTTTATAATCATATATTTGTCTATATTTAGTAGGCATATGAAAGTGATTTTAGTTAGGATTTTAGAGGTTTTTTTGAGCAGCCAAACTAATATTTCTTAGGAGAATTTCTCTTTATTTTAACAGATCTAAAAAGTTGGTCTGTTTTTTTTTTTGCTTGTTTTTTTTGTTTTAGTCGGCCGTACACTAACAAGGTCATCACTTTATGGTACCGTCCACCTGAACTGCTGTTGGGAGAAGAACGGTATACACCGGCGATTGATGTGTGGAGCTGTGGGTAAGATAGGCTTATTGATTGGTTTAATTTACTTGAAACCCTCGTTAAGTAAAATCCATATCATTTGCTAATGATGGCTATTTTTCCCATTAGATGTATCCTTGGTGAACTCTTCACTAAAAAACCCATATTTCAAGCAAATCAGGAACTTGCACAGCTAGAATTAATAAGGTAAGCTCATGATTGTAATATTTGCTGAGTGGAGGTGGTTACACTCTGTAGGATATTTAAAATCTTTCAGTATGTGTTTTCAGAAGGAGAATAGCTTGGTAATCTTGAAGGCTCTAATGACTGCTGAATGATCGAGAAACTAGATTGCAGGCACTTTGATACTTGATCTAGCAAAATTAAGGATCTTAAAATCCCTAAATCTTTTCTTTGTGTGTGTGATTAAATCACAGGGCTTGAAGTAGAAAAGATGGGACTGGGATAGGCTGAGTAAATATGAGGGAGGAGAAAATGAATGGTAGGTACATTTTTATTAAGTATGATAGGATGGAAGAATTAATGTTTTGGGATATTGCAAAGAAATACTCATATACATTTGCATATATGTTTATATGTATCTACGTATGTATACACAGCAAAATTTATTCATCATGAAGCACAGATCTTCATGATTGGAGCCCACCCTATGATTATCATACATTGTCACCTTTCTCTTCATTTAATATTAAAAAAAAAAATTTTTTTTTTAAAGAAGGGCTTCCCCCCATATACAATACTAGAGGTTTGGTGCATGAAAATTCATCCCTCGGCCCCGCCTGTGCCCTCTCGAAGTCTGGAAGCCCTCGGTCCACCTCCTGGCTTAGGCCCATTCCCCAGGGGATCTGGCCTAAGGTGGCAGTCAGACATCCCTCTGGCAACTCGGGAGCCCTTCGGGAATGTCTGACTAATGGCTTAGCGCCTCCACATAGGTGGGAGAGGCTCCTGCCACCACCGCTGAGCTGGCCAGCCATGAGCCAGCTTCTGGCTGAGTGGTGCTCCTTCTGTGGAAGCGCACTAACCACCAGGGGATTGAGCGTCCTGTGTTAAGCGTCCTGGTGGTTAGCGCATCATTAAGCGTCCTGGTGGTTAGCGAACAACTGGTTGTTCCGCTCTTGCGATCAATTCGCATATTACCCCTTTATTATATAGGATTAATTTACAATTTGTAAGATTTGCGTAAGTGTTTCAAAATAATGCATGTCAAGTTTTAGGAAAGAAATTGATATGAGACATAGATACCAATATACTATGAATTTTTCCTTCAATAGACTTGTTAGGTTAATAGATAACTTTCCATTTCTTCTGTAAATAATACTAGCTTAGGTAACATGGGAAGCTGAATTTTTGCAGCTAGTAATTCTGTTAACTGTCCCACTAGTTGAAGAGTATGATGACCAATAGGCAGTTGTTTCCATTCTTTTATGCCAACTTTTTATTACTGTATATTTGTCATTTAATTAAATATAGACAGATGCAGTGCTTTGCAAGGACTTAAAGTTTGGCAAATAGATATAAATTAGAAAGAAAAGTCATAAAAATTTAGAAGACACTCTGATTGTTTTTGGTATGTATGAATGTGATTTGTGTAAGAAAGCTAATGTAGAATCCCATTCAGTGAATCCTCTGTGCAAAGCGAAAGCCTTGGCTCTGTCAGGAGATTGGAAAATAAATGTTCATTATAAACTTCATGTTAAAATAAAATGTTTAAATTATGTATCTGTGTATCTTTTTTTTTTTTTTTAAATGATTCTCTCTAACCATTTTTTTCAGTTACTGTTTGTTCTTGTTGTATTGGATACTAGGGCATCTATTTTAATAATAAGTTCACACATATGATGCAAGCATTGTTCTAAGAATTTCACCTGAATTGGCCACAGTTGAGCTCTGTGACAACCCTATGTTTTCTTTACATAAGTTAAGAAAAATGGACCTTCCTTACAGAAATAAAGAATTTGTCCAGGGTCAAACAACTAAAATGGTGACAAAATTCAAATTCAAATGTAGACAGTTTTACTTTAGTATCTGAACTTCTAATGAATTCTCAGTACTATATAAGAAATAAAACTTTATAGGAAGTTAGTGTGATAAAAACATCAAATTGACAATGACAACATGAAAAATTTCTATAGAATATTAGTCCAAAAATACAATAATGTCAGGCTTTTCATTAGAAAATTAACTTGCAGAAAGTCAAGTAAAGTTCACTTCAAGAATACAAGGATACTTCAGTATTAGGAAGTCTGTTCTTATAACTTCATTTTAATAGAAGTAAAATAATATGTTTATCTTGGTAGGTGTTAAATAGGCATTTTCTAGAAATAAAAACTCGCTAAACTGAGGAAGTGTAGAAAGATATTTCTTTAACACGATAAAAATGTGTACCACAAATTAGTAGCCTCAATAATATTTAGTGGTGAAATATTAAAAGTAAAGACAAGAAGGATAAAAAGTTGTCTTCTAGTATTATTTAAGAGTGTTTTAGAAGTACTAACCAGTTACCTAATAGAATTAGAAAAGGGGTCCAATAAAAGGTATAATAGTGGAAAAATGAAGGCAGTATTGTCATAATTTATGTATGACTTAGAGGCCTAAAGCATGAAATTTGTCTGGAAGTCGTTCGGCTGTCCGGTCTAATTAGCATGTTATGCTTTTATTATTATAGATAACATCACATATATGCATGTATGCAACAGAAAGGAATTACCTGAACTATCTTAAATAACGAACTTGGTAAAATGGAAGTGTTAAGAAAAGTGTGTGTGTGTATACACAAAAATGTTCTAGTATATGTTATATATACATATTAAAAACAATAGCTTTTATAAAAGATGAACTAATAATCACCAGTTAGAAATCTGGTAGGAAAGATGCCTTTTTTAAAAACCACCACAATATATTCTCCAGATATATTGAAGACTATAATGTCCTGTTTAAAACTATAAAGAAGATTGAATAACTATTGTAGAGCTATATCTTGTTTTTGACTAGGAAGGCTTAATTGTTTTTAAAGATGATAATTCATTCTACAATATATCGTAATTCTAATGAGAACTTAAAAGACATTTTAAAATGATGTTTGATTTTTTATGTTCATCCTGGAAAGATAAATATGGCAATAACCAAGAAAATTCTCAAAAAGAAGAAAACTTTGGCTTATGTTAAAGCAAAATTATAGTCACTAATAAGACTATTTTGTACTGGCACATGATACATAGATAAATCAATAAGATTATATGGAAAGTCCAGAAATAAAACAAGTTTATATGGACCTTACATTATAATACAGAAGACATTTCAAGTTAGGAAATTAATTGAATAGTATTTATTGATTGCTGGTTGTGTTCCAGCTCATAGGTTCTTTTAGGATACAATGGAGGGTCAAGGCTATATCCTCAGTGTCTCATCACTGGCACTCAACTTCTTTTACTTTCTAGTTAAAGACAACAAACATAAACAAAATATATCAAATGATTGTATGTGAATGGAGATAGAAAATGGTAGAAGGTAGTGTTGTAGGTAGAAGGGAATTTTTGAGCAGAAATCTGAAAGAAATGAGGCAACAGCAAAGTAATCAAAATCCTGAGGCATGAGTGTAGTTGAGTTATTTATGAGCACGTTAACTCAGCATGGGAAAAGAAAGAAAGCTCAGTCCATCTGCTTAGCAGCAAAGTGTATAGTAATTAACAAGGAAGTGAAAAATCTGAAGATACTAACATGGAAAAGCAGCATAATTCCATGAAAAGAGCAGTTTTCCAGAAGTCTATGTTTGATTTGATCCCATTTAGGTAAAACAAACACATCAAGAGTCTGGAATTGTTTATCTCAACATGGATCTGTTTTACTATCCAGTTTATATATTTCAGAATGTTTTTGTTTTGTTGGTAAGATATATTTAAAACAGAAAAAGATGCTTCAACTTTGATTCTATAGCATTATTTTTTAAAATACGAAGAGAAAATGGAAGTTTCTGATAAAAGAAACAAGTCTCTCTGATTTGAAGGAGGCAGCAGAGTATATTGAAAGGGGTGGGCTTTGGAACCTTACAGACCTCGGTTCTAGTGACCATCAGCTACTTCCTGCACTTGTGACTTACGGTAAGTTCCGTAATGTTTGTTTCTTCACAAGTAAAATAGGACTTATGCTTAGGGCTATAAGAATTAAATAAATGTAAGTTTTCCAATACATACTCCTCCCCCTCATCTTATTTGCAGTAATGGGATATTTCTGCCATCTTAAAAAACAAAACAAAACACCACACACCTCAGGGATGATGAGGTCGAGAGTTTGATTATAAAAATAATGTGTAAACTGATCAAGAGTGGGAGTACTAATCAGAATCTGTCTTAAAGAGCTTTATACTACTATAGTAAGCAAGTAGTCTGTATGTTGCCTTGCTCCAGAAAGTATCTTGGGCATATCACAAAAGTTTTGTGACTAGAAGAGCATGAGTTAAAAAGTGACAGCAAGCCCTGGCTGGATAGCTGAGTTGGTTAGAGTCCTCCTGATACACCAAGGTTGCAGGTCCCTCCCTGGTCAGGGAAGATGTAAGAATCAACCAGTGATTGCATAAACAAGTGGGACAACAAATCGACGTTTCTGTCTCTCTCTCCCTCTCTCGCTCCCGATTTTTCCCTCTCTAAAATAAAGTTTTCCAAAAATGATGGAAAAAGAGAGTGAAAAGCAAAGGTGAGGACATAATGGGATGAATGAGGGTAAAAATGTTTTTACATGAGAGTCAATCCTTTTAACTCAAAGACTTCTATCTGCCAGCGAAAGACCGTTTATATATCACGCAGTGTACGTTACATATGAAATAAAGGACATAATCATGGAAGAAATTGAAAATAGATTGGAATAAAAAGAATCCTGCTTCTCTCTATCCAACCTTCCCTTATTCCCCCCACTACTCTTTCCCTCCAAAGACTCGGGCCTATTTGGTGAATCAGGTGAAATTTTAAAAGCATTTGGCTTTTTCAGAATATTGGAAAAGAAAGTTCCCATTTTTAAAAAAATGAAGCATATATATCATTTTTAAATCATAACAAAAAATTCCGTAAACTTATGCTTCTTAAAACTTACCTACACTTTTAAATATTATGAAAGGTCCCAGGAGCTTTTGTTTATGTTGATAGTATTTATTGATATTTACCACATCAGAAGTTAAAAGTACTTTTAATTCATTT